GGTGGGTGAAGCTGGCCCGGGTGACTTTTCATGCTTTCTACTTAATACCTCCTTCATGGAGCCACAGTCTGATCCAGTTTGTAAAGTAATTGGAGATCCTTTGGCATGCAAGATAATGTAAGGTGGTATTATATTAAAACACTGCACTGTTGCTGCAGCTACGCAGTTTCAGTTAATTTGTTCCAGCAGTTTGAGGTTGCAGGTGTAAATGATTGTAGTGATTTACGCTTCTCTCTGTTTTCTTTTTTGTCATCATGGTTAACTCTGCCCACACATTACTGCTTAATCCTGCTGATTTTATCTGCTATCTCTGTTTAAGACATAAGAAAAATCTAGTATTGCCCAGCATATTGTTCGCACACACTCGAGCCTAGCCCTACAAATTGAGGGTCTCTTGAGAAGGTGTAGATGAATTAAACCCCTAAGGCTCAAAGCAAATAACCCCTATTAACTTGAATTGTCTCCCAGGTTTTTAATGAAAGGTTTGGCATTGACTTCCACCCAATGCTTCTCTGAAAGCTTCAGAAATGAAAAAAAACCTTTAAAGTGAATCATGTGTCCCTTTAAACTGTCTAGATTTTTCTTTTAACTAAATTTCAGAAAAATTGAAGATTATCCTTCACCACTCAAACACACAAGATTCCTCAACCCCAAGAGATGACTCAGGCTAAAAGGAAAAACATCTTTTTCTCTCGTGCTGTTTCCCTACTTACTGGCTCTTGGTAGGGCAGATTCAATGGGTCCCTCTTCCCATTTGTCAGTTTTTGGTGATTGATGAGTTTTGGTAGGTCTAAGAGTGCTGCACCAATAGGTGGGGCCTCAGGCATGCTCAAGGGAGGATCCAGGATTTCCCAAAGGGGGTGTGGAAGCAGCAGTCTACCAGCTTCCTCTGCTCCACCAGTACAGGCACACCACACTGTGGGAGCCTCTGAGGAGTTTTTAAAATCCTAAAGCAAGTTAAAATCCTCTCCATTGGCTTACCACCATCAGCTTTTTTCCCTGGTGGAGTGGTAAGAGATGTTGAGTCCCTTCTCAACTAATCACTGCTCTGTGAAAATGAAAATGATGTAGTTCTTCTGCATTTAAGGCCTACTGCACCCGTGAGAGTAGAGAGAAGCATTTAGTTGAGGGTTACGAATGCCTGTCATAAAAGGCAACTGTTGTGAAGTTTAAGTGCTAATAGGGCTTCCACAATGTGGGACTTTTGGAAAAATCACACTGGTCAAATATCACTCACCTGGAGTGGTAAGGTTGCTGTAGCCCTGGGGGGTGCAGGAGATATTTGAGAAGCAAGGTTTTTCTGTGGCATGATATTTTTTATTCGACTAACTAGAAATAGAAAAGATTTTACATAAGCTTGTGGGCACAACGACCTGAAGAAGGGCACTGTATGTTCAGAAGCTTGTTTAACTTCTTGCCCAAGTATGCAGTTGGTCCAGTTAAAGATATCACTCCCAAAATGTTTGCTTCTCACTTACCTGGAGTGAGTTGTGCACTGTGCCTCTGTTTTCACTCTCATGTTAGCTGGAGCATAAAGGAGACTGCAGGGTGTGATCATAGTTTCCTCTTGAACTTCTTTCTTGGTACCAGAAGCTACACTTGAGGTTTCTGAGCAAACAACAATGGCTTCCTTTTCTCACTGATCCCTGTATTATATTTGTCACCACTCTGAAATTAGCAGCGTAGCCGGGGGATGGTATATGGTAGCAGTTGAAAGGTGAAGGTTGGGCTGATGTGGGATGAGGAGTGGGGGTGGGGGTGGGGTGGGGTGGAGGGAGAAGAATAGCATGGAGGATGGATAATGATGAAGGTAAAAAGCTGGGAGGAGGAGGAGGAAAGAGAGCACTGCTGAGAAAAATGAGGGAAAGTTAATTGCAGTTCACAGTAGTGTGAATCACGCATTAGATCCCATTGCACCTTTGCCTTCCTATGTAGAGGGGACCTCAGGGAGTCAGCCATTCTCTCCCATCAGGGAGATGAGGAATGGGAGACTGTGGGATGCTGGGGGGGTCTCTCAGTTGTTATTGTGGCCGGCTAGGCATTAAAATTGCCATAGTACACAAAGCAGTTGCTGTTTCAGCCAGCAACTTTTTCATGGCAAATTCACCCTTTTTTATCCCTTGACAAACTAATGCCTAGTCAGTCACAATTTGTTGCAGGAAACTCTTATATAGACCATGCCAAATGTAACATCTGCAAGGCCCTTAGACTCTGATTCCATCTGAAATTAAAACAAAGTCATATGTCATGAATGCTTTACCATTGTAATAGGGTTGGAGTGTTGTTATAGCTGTTATGGTCCAGCAAAAAAGCAAGAAACAAGGGGCATTTAGGTGATCTTTTCATATTGGATCTACTATAGTTGGGAGAAATGTTAGACAAGCTTTTGGGCACTAGTACCTGACCTGAGGAAAAACTCCTTGCTTCTTTCTGTCATAACTCTGGTACCAGGAAAGTAGATTCAAACTGTGTTTAGGGGTAAAGTAGAGCTTTCATTTGAAACTGTTTCTTTAAAAGATGACACTGGACTGTGAGCCACTGTAGTGCTAAATGCGTCTATGTCAAGTTATGTTTTATATGCAAAAATCATATGGCAGTGAACAGTAATACATAGAAAGTAGAAAATATTTACATAGCTGAAGATCCTTAATGAAAGTTACTTTATTTGACGTTTTACCAGAAGGTTTTTGTATAATGTTTCCATGTGTAATTTAGTTTTACTCTTTTTTTCCAAAAATTTTTGTTTGATATCTGTTATGGGAGATTGTATTCCAGTGTACTCAATATTACTTGTAAAGCAGAATTTGGTAAGCCAGATGCTTATAGTTGAGTAATGATATTCTAGAAAAGACCTTAAGAAACGAGAGAAAATATAGATATATCAAAAAACATAAACATTATTAGTAGAGATACCAGCTTGTTGGATGGGTACATGAAACCTCCATGTGAAAAATCAGATTAATAAAACTTAAAAAACAATTTTCACACAGAATATTTTTCCAGTGCCTGCTAAAGAAAAGAAAGCTAGTGTACAGAATTGGAAAATGTGACTTTTACAAGGACTTTTTCCCCTTTCCCCAGAAAAGTGTTCTCATGAATTTTCATGTGTAATCTCAGTGCAATTATTACCCTGATTCAGGAATGTATACTTATACTTAGAACAATGGTTAAGTGTATGCATAACTCTTATTAAAAGTCTTGCCTAAGTACATTCCTGAAGTACAGCCTATCTGCACAAATTTCTTGAAGTTTGCCACTGTTTTTTGATGGGGATATTTCAACCACATACCCTAGTAAAGTTAAACATCTCCAAAACCAAGAGAGTGTATCAGACGGGTGTATAATAATGAAGAGCTGGTATATTCATTTATTAATGTTTGAAATTGTATCTCTTCATGTGTTACAATGAAGAAAGTTTTCCCAAAATAAATTCTTAACCAAAAAAATAAATATTGATTGTGTTTGTGTTTAGTATCAGCTGTTTTTTTCAATTTTCAACCATTCTTCTTTCTTCACTTTAACTTTTAAAAAACCTCCCATCTCTTATTTTCCAGCATATAAGGATATATCAAGATAAATCACGTACCTCAGAGTTTATGCTAACAGTGCATTTATCCCATTTTAACACAGTTAAACAAAGCATGTTCACTCCAAATAAGCTCATTAATTGTTAACAGAGGTTACCATTAGTTTCTTGAGAGGCATCACAAACTTTACTTGTCACTGAGCACAAGTGTTAAAGTTTTCTTTGGAGGCCGTTTATTTATCTGACCAACTGTTTTGTGGGAGATCTGTTTACTGGGCTGTTCAAGGGGAAATAGGTTAATTTTTATTGAAGATATCATTTGGGGACATTGATGAATATGTAAGCTTGAGCAAGTCACTTCTCAGTTCCCCATGTGTTAAGTGAGGATAATATGTTCAAAGAACTAACCCTACTGGATAATGACCAAGACAATGGATCATGTAACTTGTCTACTGTTTTATGCATTTTCTACTCTAGAGCATTTATACTCATTTACATATATTTCTAGTTTCCTGTTGGTCCATCATTAGTCATCTTTGAACTTGACCTATGCCACTCTGGAAGAGGAAAGCTAAATTCATAAATGCTCTGTTAATGAAAGGGACACACAAGAGCTGGCCTAACTGTCAAAGTTTCAATTAAAAGAATGGTCAAGGAGGGTAATCTTGCCAGATTTTCAGCACTCCTACATTTATTTCATTCTCTTGTTCAAAATGGTCCAAGTTGTGTTCTTGATTCCCAAGATTGGAGCATGCTGGACAACAACTTTTCATTTCAGTTGTCCAGCACTTGAACGCATCCCTTTTCTTTTGTCATTTCTGGAACACAATGCCAGTCTGATACAGATTTTTAATGCTCCTGTTTGGACTAGAGGGCTCTTGTCCCAAAGAGCTTTTTACCCATCTGCTTCAGGGGTGCTCTGTTTTTAGCCTCCAGTACCATGTAATCCAGCCCACGAGGTTACCCATGAATTCTGTGGGGACCCCAGGGGCCATGGCCCCTGCATGCCGGAGCTCTGTGCTGCCCCTGCCCAGCCTTAATTTCTATTTCAGGGAGATGCAGTTTACTTGAGAATGGGGCAGTTTTGTCTGAAGAGTGCATCTGCCAATCTCTGGTTCTGATTGATTTCTGGAGGCTTTTTTTCCTGGAGATGTGGTACTGACTTAGCATTTTTATCATTTCTCCAGATCTAGCTGTAAAAACCATCCCAGTTGCCTCTGAACTTTCTTAAAGGGAGACAGTTATCCTTAGTTGTCAGCAGTCTATATTGGTGGACGCAGCAATTTGAGTGGGGAAGAAATAGCCAGTAAAGTGATGGTTGATCTTTAGATGGTTGAGAGACCTCTTTCCCATGTCCCAGTTAAAGCTAAACCACAAAATAAAGCAGATATACTGTCTTGTCAGTGTGTGTTCAGACTTGATTCTTGATGTTTTGTCTTTATGTTAATATATTTCTTGTTTTTTATATGCCCAGATAACCTCTACAGAAATTTCTGAATATTCATCTGATAGTGAAAATCTGGAAGATGATCAGGTGGATGTGGAAACTATTAATTTAGAATTAACCAAAAAGTTACAATCGAATTCTGAAATGGATTTGGGGCAAGCTACAGGAAGATCTGCAAGTGACTGGTTAAAATCTGCCCAAGCTCTTCTGCAGACTCCTAAGAAACAACCAGACAAGTCCTCTAGCACACCAGAAGATTCTGCAAAGAAGAGAAAATTGCTGAGGTAAATTTACAATTTTTATAAAGTTGATTTCTTGTATAGCAATAAATAAGAAAATACTGATTTTTTTTTTTAAGACGTCATTTAACAATATTTAATGCCCCTTCAACGATCACACCACATTGTGTGTTTTATTTCTTTGTTTTGACCTCTGAAAAACTGCTGGCAGTATGGATTGGTAATTTCTGTGTATTAGTAAGGTGTAAACATATTGGAAATGCATAATCTGAGCACCAAGCTTCAGTTCTATTTTGGTATTGACTCACTAATGTTGGTATTGTCCTCTGGGTCCCCCTGCTCCATTTTATTATGGCAATCTGTGAGTGGTGGAACTAAAACTACATGTTACAGGAAAGATGCTCTGACTTCGTTCATAAAAGAAAATGTAGAGTATATGGAGCATGCTTAAATGGAACAATCTTCCTACCCTAACTACACCCAACAGTATAGTTTTTCCATGTATTGCTGGAAAATGTAGAATGAGAACTTGACTGAAAGAACAAAACAGCTTATTTAACTTTACAATGGTCTTGTTTGCTTCAGCATTTTTGTCACTTTCCCAACATTGTAATATTACCAGTTCCTATGATTCTTTTGGTGATGGACATGTGGAAACAAAACAGGAAATTCCTTATACAGAGAGTTTAATTTACAGAATCCTAAGTCTGGAAGGGATCCCAAAGGTCAAGTCTGACCTCCTGTATAGATACAAGATGCCTTATTCCTCAGCTGTCCCAGACAGATTCCTCATCTTAAAAAATTCCAGTGAAGGAGATCCCGTAAATTCCCTAGGCATGTTGTCTCATTGCCCTGCTGCTCTGACAGTTAGGAATCTTTTTTTTCTGAGACTTGTTCTTTTATCTGCCTCATCGGTATTGTCTGAACTTTCTTGTCTAGACCAAAGGGTGCTCACCCATGGGGCTTCTGCACTTTGTTCTGTGTTGTCTAGTTAGTGTCTGGGACAGACACAGCTTCTATCCACATTTTAATAATGGATAAGAGCCTGGTGTTATAATTGAAGGCTGGAGGACACCGCTATCTGTAGCTAGCTTAACTCTTTCCTAACTGGTACTGTGGGCAGAAAATGCTGCGAAAAGATCAGGCAGGTAGCATAACTCTTATGTACATTTGAATTCCAATGAAAGACCATAATCCAAAATCAGATTCATTTCAGTCTGTTCACCTTCTGTGTAGTCTTGTGCGAAGTCTGAAGTCAGTTTCCCTGAATTTTAGTAGCGCCACTCCACATGAATGTGTTCATTTTTTTTTCTTTTTCTGGTGTTCAGGGTGACCAGAATTATTGTCCTGGGTGGTCTTCAGCAGATGTCAGGGCTAGTTCATGTTTCATGGCAATCGTATATACTATTAACATCACCCACATGTTGCTTTGTAAATGCTCTGGGTTCTGCAGTTTTACTTGCATCTCTTGATTTGCAGTGCTCTTGCTCCTACATCAATAGCTGTGCATTCTATTGGCTGGCATTCTTGTCTCCATCCAACCCTGGGAGAAACTGAAGTGCATCAACCTTGCGAGGAATTGAAATGTACTCACTTCCCTGGAGTGCTGTTGAAATGGAAATAGGTCCTCACCCAATTTGGGAGGAAAGATGAGTGCTGGCTTCAAATTAAGGAGGGGGAGATAATCTATGTACAAAACTCCAGTTTTATGTAGTAGAAATCTTCTATACAGAAAAATACCAATATTGAATAAATGGCTATTGAAGGGAAAATGGTATGTTAATTAAACAACAAAAACTCACATTTCTAGTATGAGAGAGAGACACTACCATGCTAATAATAGTGACAAGAGTATGTTACTGAACTGCAGAGTAACTAAGTTCCAAGAGAGCACTTTATTAAGAGATCAGAGCAGATGAATCATCTTTTTGTCCATTGATCTTAACTGTAATATTCCCATGCATTCCATCCAGCAGAGATTTGGTTTCTCAACTTGAGAGAGAGACCTTGTCTGCATTAGAAAATTTTCCACATTCTTTTAATATCCAAGGAAGACAGAGGGGCTGCTTAACAGTCACCATCCTTTAGGAAGTTTATCTCTACAGAATTGTCACTCACGGTGATGCCTTAGAATGAAATTGTAAATTTTACCATTCATACAGCTTCCTTATGAAGAAAGCTCTTATAGGGTTTGTTGTGTGTGTTACAACAGTAATTGTTTCTGCATAATATTGTAAACAAAAAAGCTATATGAAAATTTGCAGATAACATGGTTAAACAGTTGTTAAAAACTGAACTTTTCTTGGCAGAAACTCAGTCTCTCTCTTGTTTTTCTCTCTCTGTCTCTGGCTAAGTACAAACAGTCAGAAAGCCTGAGGCTGAGCTGATTCAATTTTTGCAGGTTAGTCTCAGTATAGATTGGACCAATAAGCAAGTGAACAGACCTTTGATTCCGGAAATGTGGCAACATGTCTACAGTGGCCCAGGCCTGAAGCTGGGGTGTGCTAGAGCACACCTCCCTGCTCAGCTGGAGCAGACAGCTTGGGCCAACGCTAGACCACCCATCCTGCAAGGAGGGGGAAAGGGGCTTGCAGGGGAGGTGCAAAGCGTCCTGGGATGCTGGGGGACTGAGTTAATTTGAATCTGTAGGGGATTTGGGACAGAAGTTCAATAAACCCGTTTAACCTAAATCAGTGAAGTTTGATACTACGTCCATCCAGGTTTATCTTAAACTGGTTTTGGCCATTTTGAAAGCAGTTTATGTGCACCAAACTTGTGTTACACACTTGAACTGGTTTCTGATCATTTATACTGGTCTGTGTGTAATTTCTGTCCCTAGCCACAGTCTGTCTGTCTGTCTCAAAGGTTTTAGGAGTTTCTGACTTTTTTCAAGTAAGATTTTTATTTCCGTAACTAAACAAAAGTCCATTTAACTGTGGTCTTGGATCATTTTGGGAAATGTAGGTACAAAGGGTATTAAATCTTCTATTTCCAAATCTATTACTGTGTAATAAATATTTTTTACAAAATAATTTCTGTATTGGTTACTTTTTGCACTTAAGCTGTTTTTGGTTTGGATTGTTTTGAAAGGGTTAAGGAGGTCTTATTTAAGTATTTGATGCCTATGTGTACTGTAGCACACAGGTGCACTTAGAGATTTGACCTACTAAAATTATCTTTGTCAAAGGAGCAGAAAATTATTGAATAGCCTTACACACCACATAGTAAAATTCAGTCAGCTTCCATAATACAAGGTCAATAAAGGCCTTGAATATAAAATAAAGTCAAATGCCAAGGGAACAGCTATTGGCCTGAATGAAGACTTCTGTTTACATACAGCATTCTGAAGACAAAAGTGAATCTGAAATAATCAGGCAGGTAGAGCAGGGTGACTTCTTGGGTTGCTTGCAGATGTGAAAAACAAATAATCTGCACCTTACCTTATTAAACTCGGCGTGATCCTGTGCCAAGCCCAGCATGTGCCCAGAAGAGGCATTGCGTTAGTTGGAACCAGCTTGGCCAACATCTGCATAGATAGCGCTTTTGTGGGGCTTTTTAGCACTTTTATCTAATAACTGATTGAATCAGCTATTAGATAAAAATGCTAAAAAGCCCTGCTGAAACGCCTGATTTATACAGAAGCTGTGGAGCCAGGTCAAACTAATGTGCTGCTTTTTCCAGTAAAGTGCGGGGTTTGTGTGGTTTGCTTTTCTTTTTCTCACATCTGTCAGCACCTTTAGAGACTACGTGGTCCAAAGGCATGATTTATTTGAAGGTAGAAATCTGCTGCTATAAAAGATAGTAGCAGATTGAACCAGTTAGTCTCTAAGAGGCCACCCTGCCCTACCTCCTGCTTACCTTTTAGCATTGCAATAACATTGAAAGCTTTGTAGATGGGGCGTACTCCCTCCAAAACAGCCTGGTCTGATTAAAAAGCTAGAAAACAAAATATCAATTGAAATGTCAATTGATAATGATTTTCCTGCTGGCCTAAGAAAAGGCATTTGAAATGCACCATGGCTGTCATACAGGTGTAGGTATCATCTGTGAAAACTCCAAATAGCCTTTACCAAGAGGGGAGGACCCAGCTAGTCTGCAGACCCTGAAAAGTTGGCAGGACTCCCTGGGCTGGAGAAGCTGTTGCCCCTTATTTCTTCCCCCACAACCTATGAGGTGGGGGTTGGAAGGGGCTCGGACCCAGGCTAGGCACCGTCTTGTCCATAGGAATGGAGAGAGAAGGTCCCTGCCAGCTGGCAGGTTTCCTTGGGTAGGCACTGACAAGAGACACCCTTTAGCAGTGTCTGGGGGGTGGAGGGATGGTCGTCTGTCTTTTAGTTTTTGGTTAGGATTCTTTTCAATGTAGTGTTTTCAGGGAAGGGAAGGAGTTAAGTATGTGAGGTTTTTTTTCTGGTGTGGGAGTGGGGGGAAGCTGCAGCCCCTTTGGAAGAGGAGGTACAGGCTTAGAAGAGATATTGGGGAGGATGGGTGGAGGCATCTCCCCTGGGACTGGGGGTGCGAGAGCAGGCAGTAAGGGTGAGTGGAAAGAAGTTTCTTGTATCTGGATGCGAGTGGTGGTTGGGATTGGTGCAGGGGTTTGCTTGTGTCGTAATATGGGTAGGAAGATAGGTGGTGGTGGGCAGAAGTCAGTTCAAATTCTTGGGCTTTGGGTTATAGTTTGGGGGATTCTTTCTGTGCGTTTGTTTTTCATAAGCTACTCCAACCTTTTGGATATGGCAAGGTATGAATCTAATAAATAAATAAATGATTATTACACTTGTCAAAGATTGGACGCTATTTGCTTACTGAAAATGAGGCTCGTGTCACCCTTGAGTAGTAGAGGGAATGGGCTTCTTTTTGGGGTGAGGCAAGGACAAAATCTTTTAATTTAAAATAAAATCTATTTGAATTTGATGTTTTAAAATGATAGGTGTAGTATGATTTTGCTTGTTTGCCAGGACAGAATTGCATCCTTCCAGAGAGGAGTCAGTTTGGTATCTTTTATGTTTTTGGACGTGAAGTTTACTACTCTATGCAAGATTTCTTGG